GTACGTTAGGAGAAGCTTTTGTTAGACTATTTTATCGCTTTTCTTTATTTTAATAGTAGTACTTGAATCGTTACAAAATGATGTACAGCAAGAAAAATGAGAAGTCTTATTACTTTCTCAATCAATTGAACTTTGAATGTTTATGCTATGATTTTGATGATTCTAATATATGGATGTCATGTTGTTCTTGCTATTGTACTTCGAGCTACGTTTAATATTGTTGTGATAAAGTAGTTATACCTTATGATAAAATTACTGAACAATGTGGTTTACTATTGTCACGATCCAAAATCCGTTAAGGATCGTGATGGCGCCGGACACCACTGTCAGGCAAGCCAACACCAAATAACTAGTAATTTCTCGTTTTAATATTTTTGAAATCGTCTCCTTTACACATTTAAACAATAAATACTAAACTTCACTGAATAAATAACGATGTTTTACGAAATTTAACTGCTGAATAATCCCATAATTATCCCCAGAATCCGGTGTCACAAGTGCATGAGCGATTTCTGGGAAAAACAAGATGTTATACAATAATTATCCGGAATACAAGTGGACAGAAGGGAAAATACAATACAATACTCTGAAGGAAACTCTACCTGCTGCGGGTCGTCTTGAGAGGTGCAGCTCACCTAAGTCTCCGTATCGATCATGCCGTTGCGCCTGGCTAGGCCACTAGTCATACATGTGCCTGTGCACAAAAATGCACAGCAAGTGTAGTATGAGTACAAAAACAACGTATACCCAGTAAGTATCCCGTCTAACCTCGATGAAGTAGTGACGAGAGGTCGACTCCGACACTTACTAGTGGTCCAATAATATGGATACGGTAAAGGGGGAATAAACATGAAACAGAGTAAATATGTGAAATAAACAAGTATAAAATACGTGATACAATTCCCCTTTTTATAATTTAACTCAAGCTCTCAACTAGCAAGTTTCCTCCGTAACCGGAGCATATATATAGATATAGTGGATTTCATTAAGGAAGTAGTCATAATTCAAATCAGGAAAAAATCCCTCAGATTTCACTGGCTTCTAGCCAAATATCACGCACGATTCAATGAGGATAGTGTATATATATATATATAGAGAAAATTTCGAGGCGTACGGTCCGATCCAACATAAAAGTAAATTGTGCACTGCCAGAGGGCCGAATGACGGGAACCATAGTTGCATCTATTAACCTGCCGAGGCGATCGGCCCGCTCCCATGAGAGTAGTAAAAAGTAATACCCCGCTCGCGAATCATACGTGCGACGCGGTCAAATATAATTTAAGGGACTTCCCCGCTCGCAAATCATACATGCGACGGGGTCAATTATAGATTTCTTAAGTTATTATGATATTTATCATTTCTTTTCGAAAATACGAACTTCATGGAAACTCTTAATATCTCAAATTCCTCAATTCAATTTTCTTTCAACCCAATTATTACGCAACATTAATCTTGTTTCTTCTCAACAAACAATAAACATAAATTAACAACAATATCAATCAAGGCATAATGTAAGCCTCAAACTACCCGGACGTAGCCATAGTTAGTAGCTACGTACAGACTCTCGTCACCTCGTGCGTACGTAGCATCCTCAAATAGAAGCACATATAATTATTTCACCTATGGGGTTAATTCCCTCTTACAAGGTTAGAAAGGAGACTCACCTCGCTCCGAAGCTCCATAACCAGCTCCCAAGCTCTTCCGACGACTCAAAGTGATGCGCAACACTCCGAAACTAACCAATAATCATGAAAATCCATTAATATACGCTCGAATACTCATTATAATCCAATTTATAATAATTTCTAACCCCGATCGAAAAGTCGGTAAAAATCACCCTCGGGCCTACATGCCCCGATTCCAAATTTTTTTGAAGATAAACTTTACCCATACGCTCACGGACTCAAATATATAATTTATTCTCAATTCCATACCCAAAATCGTGGTCAAAATCCAAGAATACCAATTTCTAAATTTTTCTTCAAAATCCCAAATTTCTACCAATTTCTATGTTAAAATATATACATAATCATTGTATTTAACTCACAATAGGTGGGGATGACTTACCTTTCCATTAATGATGAGAACCCCATCTTGAAACCCTCCAAGAATCGCCCAAACCAAGAGAAAGATGAAGGAAAATGGGCCAAATCCCATTTTTAAAAGAACACACTGCCTCCAGCCTTTCTGCACTGCGGTCACTTGACCGCTTCTGCGGTTCCGCAGGTGCGGCCCCACTACCGCATCTGCGGTCCTTCACCAGGCCCTCACTCCGCTTCTGCGCTTCTCCTTCCGTAGGTGCGGTCCCGCTTCTGCGGCAAGATGACCGCATCTACGGTCCCAACCTTCTCCCTTCTCAACCGCATCTGCGCTCCTTTGGCTGCTTCTGCGGCTCCGCACCTGCGGCCAAGACCTCGCAGGTGCGGTTACACCAGATGACAACAGGCTTCAGCTCTTCCTCCCAACTCCAATTTGATCCGTTAACCACCGAAAATCTGTCTGAGGCTCCCGGGATCCCGTCCAATCACACCAACCAGTCCCACAACATAATGCGGACCTGCTCGACGCCTCAAATCACATCAAACAACGCTAAAACTATGAATCGCTCTTCAATTCGAGCTTAATGAACTTTAGAATTCAAACTTCTTCATCGATGCCCAAACCTAACAAATCACGTCCGATTGACCTCAAATTTTGCACTCAAGTCATATTCGATATTACAGACATACTCCAACTTTCGGAATCGGAATCCGACCCCGATATCAAAAAGTTCCCTTCCGGTCAAACTTCTCAAAAACCTTCAATTTCTGACTTTCGCCAAATGACTCCAAAATGACATACAGACCTCCAAATCGACTTCCGATCGTGCTCCTAATACCAGAATCACCATACAGAGCTATTCCCAGACTCGGAATCCCAAACGGATATCGATAACACTGAAATGCACTTCAACCCAAACTTATGAAGTTTTTCCAAATATACTAACTTACACAATAGGCGCTGAAACGCTCTCGGATCATCCAAAACTCGATCCGGATATACGTCCAAGTCTAAAATCATCATACGAACCTTCTGGAACCTTCAAATCCTGATTCCGAGGCCGTTTACTCAAAAATCCAATCTTAGTCAATTCTGCCAACTTAACGCTTTCGAAATGAGAATTTTCTTTCCAAATCAACTCCGAACTTCCCGAAATTCAATTTCGACCACGCGTACAAGTCATAATACCTGAAGTGAAGCCGCTCATGGCCTCAAACAGCCGAAGAACGCGCTAAAGTTCAAAACAACCGGTCGGGTCGTTACAACTACTCTGTCGCAATTCAGCCTTCTCATTTTATTTCGGGAATAATGTAAAGGTAAAAGCTGAAATTTTATTGCACCTGGTTGAATAAAAGTGAAAGAAAAAGTAACGCTTTGAAAATCATAGGTCTTTCTTCCATGAAATGTAGGTTAGGTAAATAATCAAATATTTGTAAATAATTTGAATTATGTGGAAAAACAAATTTTATTTCTCAAAAATGAACATATTTTATTTAATTTTTTACAAGGATAATTAATTTACTTTTGAAACTGCATCAAGCAGGTGGACCTTTTAAATAAATATCTAGAGAGTTGAGGGAAGATGACCATATATTTTTGAACAATCCAAAATATAAAAATAGAATTGAAAGGTGAAGTATTTTTATTTTACTTTATGATTTCTCTATTTGATAAGAGTTGAATATGATAATACGGTGCATTTATGTAGTGATAAATAGTAACTCCTTGGTACCGACTTGTCTCCTTTTTCTTTGTCATTTTTTTTTTTTTTTTTTGCGGATTTTGATTTCGACATATTTATCGATATTTTAGAATTGAAAACATTTTCTAGCTATACAATATTATAGGTTTTGCAGGAAATTTTGACACTGCCACCACCATCCATGCAGAACTAAAGGCCCTATTTCATGGTCTGGAATTGGCAATACGCACAATTTGGTTCCGCTAGAAATAAACGTCGGTGCATCAGAGGTACTTACCCTGTTGAAAAATGACAACATAGTTCATGCTAATATACTAGCTGACTGCAAGTACCCCTTAGGCCAACTGCATAGTGTTACCATTGCACATACTTACAGAGAGGGGAATGAGGTGGCCGATGGTTTGGCTAAGACGGGATACACCATGGAAGCTGCTGCAAAACCTATTGTTTTTGAGGAGCCACCGAATTTTGTCAACACCTTTTTGCAAATGGATCAGGCAAGAGCGTTTCGTTAAAGGAAGACGACATGCAGACCAACGGACCAAGCTGTGGACATGGATCAAAACACTTTTTGGACATTTGAGGTTGATCAAGAAACCACAACCTCCAATGGAGTCAGTGTGGTAGAAAACACCATTAGGATAACTAGTACTGATCCTTGTAATAGACAACTATCAAACAACTATAATGGCGATGCACAGGCATCACCCTCTCTGTAGTAATTTTAGTTATGTTTAATGCAATATTATCTTTCTCACCAAAAGAAAATATCATTTGTACATTTTGCGATTTCGACATATTTATCGATATAATGCCATTGCTTTTGCATATGATTATCAAATGAACTTATGCCCCTTGAATATTCTCGTGTGATTAGGTTCAAACTTTTTACTAACAATCTCCATAGTCATAGCTAAAATATAAAACTTAGGTGAGTAGTTAGATGAATTTAAATTTGAAAATCTAATCTTTTTAGATTTCGATACAAAAATCTTTAACATATCTTCAACATATTAATATTAAAAAAAGATTAGTTTATAAATTTGATGAGGTCCTTCAAATCACGCAAGCGCGGACAAATTCACCAGTTTAAAATAAATTAAAGAAAAGGCATGAAATAGAATTAGTCGCATATTCAAAATAAATTAAATAAGGTATTTTTCCTTTATTAATCATACTTTATAGGGCAGGTAAAATAAATGATATTCGACAATCTACATCATACCCTCATATTGTTCCCTTCTTAATTACTTTCACCCTACAGGTTATTGGGAAAGTTGACATTTGATTTGTAAATTGATCTTGGTTGCCAACCGTCTGGAATGACATTCAGAGCGGTGACACTCTGCTTTGTTTCTGAAGTAAAGGGAGGTTTCTGTGTATCTGGTTGTGTTCCAACATTCCAAGTTGCCCCAGTCATTCGCTGCATTAGTACCCAACTCAAATTGCTTGTTTGGATTTTAACTAATGAAAGGTCACCATCTCCATCTACAACTTCAGATGTATCTGCGTAGAAATTAGGATTGAAGCCTTTGTCCACCTTAAATAAGATATTTGTGTTGTAGTTACATGCTACCCTGTAAGGTTCAGTAAAAACAAAAGAAATTAATGCATTATCGGTGTTCTTCGGAAGGAAAATAAGAAGAAAAAATTAATTTATTGCATCCTATATAAAATCTTCGTATAAGATGGAACAAAGGAAGTAAATTTTAGTTTTTGTAGAACAACTCACCTTTGGTGAAAAATCAAAATTCTTCCTGCATTATATATTTGTGAAGCTTCACCAAACTTTGCCAATTTTCTAAAGGCAATTCCACTTATATCGAAGTGAACTGGATCATTATTGCATGCTCTAGGGCACTCATTTGTAAGGGTTACTGTCATTGGATTGCCTGAACAATGCGGATTTTGATCTTGGGTGCACAACACGTGAAAAACAATACCGACAATATAGATATGCCATGCATTTGTGCGTAAAACTAAAATATTCTTGCACATTCTCTCTTTTGTCTTAGAGTTTAATTTCCCTGTCATCTCATGCAAAATAAGATACCTTTATTCTACAAATTATAGATTCATAAGATCAATAGCGAAATCAGAAATTCTGTCAAAAAAATTCAAAAAGATCTAAAAATGTTACATTTGGAATTTGTATCTATATTTTCTCTAATAAGGAGATTTAAAAATTTGTATATTTCAAATGTATTTTTATTCAATTTACGTTATACACACACACACACACACACACCTGGTAACATGCTCCACATCCAGAGCTTTGCTTAAAAAAAGCTTGATTTCCCGCCGTGATCATTGCATTATAGGTAGCGCTTGCTACGTCATTTTCGAGCCCACATGCTCCACTACAACAGAAAAGTAAGAACAATATATGATTTTTATCATTAGGCCTAGAATCATTAATAAAGTATGTAAAAATCAAGACTATATTGATCAAGCCATTTTGGTGAATATTTGTCTACAAAATTTTATTCGTATATTTTTCTTTTATTATGTAGGGGAATGGAAGAGGAAATTGATAAGGAGATTACAAGATGCAAATCAAACCTCACCAAAAAGTTAAAATTCAGATAGCCAATAATTGAACTAACTATGATTTACCTTCAAAATTTTATTTGAAATTTAAAACAGGTTTAGTTTAATTTTAATCAAGTAGGCCAAATAAGTCTTATGAAAAAAGAGAGTAGAAATAAACAACATTTCAAGATATTACCACTCCCAGGACTAGTAGGATTTTCATAAAAGGTTGCAACTGTTTGTGAATAACCGCTTGGTTGGCAAGAGGAAAATCTGATCAAATACGAGCAAAAAGCTACAAAAATCAAAAGGAAAAGACACTAAGGAAAATTTGCAGCCATGACCTAGTAATTATCCGTGAGTAGTGATGCTATAGTATTTTTGCTAATTGCTTATGCAGTGTCAATTAGTGGGATCCCAGACCCCACTTAATGGGACTTTACTGGGTCGTTGTTGTTGTTGCTTATGCAGTGTCACGTTAGTTGGTACTATTTATAGTAAAAACTGAGTATTAGTTAGTTGAGAATATAAATTAAGAATAATGAATCATTTTGCCAAAGTTGAGGATATGAATTATGAACAATGAACCATTTTGCCAATTTCAGGTAAGAACTTTATTTCCCCACTATTTAGTTTGCAGATTTATAATGCAGGATTATAAAGCATGGCGTTTAAGGTTACTACATAATCATGATTCTCATCATCTCTTTCATTCTCATATTTCTCTTTGTCATATGCCAGCTATACACTATATGATTTAAGATCTCTGTAACATAGAACAAGAGGCATGTAGTAAACATATCGAAATGCATAACAACTAACCATAAGTTGAGAAGAGCAGAAGAAAAAGATATTGATTAATAAATACTTGAATTTGTTATAAATAGAATTCTATTTAAGGTGAATGTCTATATTTAGAGAGATTCTAGGGTTTATTACTTGGTGGCTAAGTCACCCTCTCCCTATAAATAGAGGTTTCTATTCCATTGTATTTCATCCCAAATCAATAAGAATTCTCTCCCTCTACTTTTCTCTGCAATACTCTTCTTCTTCTTTTATTATTTTATAACACGTTATCAGCACGAGACTCTAACCAATTGAGTAGAAGCTTTAGGATTGAGCATAATGATTGTCAATTATTCCATGAACTTCCTTCATGATTAAATTCTGGATTTAAGGTAAGTATTTTACCGTATTTTTCTCTTTTATTCTATACTTTGACTTTAAATACAAGCAAAGACAATAAAGTTTGATTATAACTCTAATGGAGTTTGTAAGAAATTATAACCACCTGAAGTGGTAAAATTTCTATGCCTCTCCATGATCAAATTCATGTATGATTGTGGGCAAAGAATTGAAAACCCGTCCCATTGAATTTGCTCCATTCTCATTCCCTTAAGAGAATGTGATAGCAGTATGTGATAAGTCTGAAAGAAGACAAAATTATTACTATGAATGTATCAATGGATATGGACGTGGCAATAGACGAAATTATAACGTCATCATTTGTGATAATGAGAACAATAAGGATTCTCAAAATAATCTTTCACTCTGTGAAAAATATTTGTCATCGATTTGACATGAGATTTTGTAAAGCACATATAGATGATTATGGTCCATTCATGATGTGAAGACAACATCTGATTTATGAATACATATTCATTATTCAAAGAATATGAACGTGCTAGTGGTAGTGAATATACCGCACTCACCTCTAAAAGGAGGTTTGAGATGATATAAGAAAATAAAGTCATTATTATGGCATGAATGGTCATTGGTCACGTACCTATTGTACGCCAAAATATTTTGGCATTGTGATTGTTAAAAGACAACGGTAATGCAAGAAATAGATCTTGCATATAATTTTGACCACAACGATAATGGTATAACTTTCTCTTTAAAAGAGATATTCACCATATGGATGTTGATGAATATGTGGCAGTACCAAATTAATTGAGAGCTCCGGAAGAGACAATTATTACTATTTTGGAGAAACACAATTGATTACCAATAAGGTATTGTATTGTAGTAAGTCTCAAAGAAACTTATTCAGTTTTCAAAGTATACGCGAAAGCGATTGATTATATTGAGACTATAAATAAAGGAAAGATTTAATATCTTCTATTACTACAACTTGTAGCGGGGTAATATGTATGTGAAGAGCTACCCGCTTTGTTCTCCAGTTTGTACTACACAAATAAAACCATACCACAATAAAGTGGATGTTTATTGATATAAAAACTCATATCATAATAAACTCGGAGTTTATTGATAATTACACACGTCATGGTGTAAACCTAAATTTTATCAATATTGATAATTTATTCGGTTGACACAATTGGTTTAGCCATATTAATTTTAGTATGATGTGCAAAAATAAAAGAGAATTCACATGGGTAAATATTAAAGAACTAGAAAGTTCTTTACGAATTCTCTTACATTGCTTGTTCTCATTAATTAATAGACCAATTAAAATTGGGATTGAATCCCATGAATGCTGGAAATATCAAAGGTAAATATGGGCCCATTCACCTGCCATGTATACCACATAAGATGCATCTATGAGATGGTTACATGTGCGATTATTAATAACCCGCAACATGGTGTTTTGCGAGGTAACTTGCTCAATAATTTAATTTCAAGCATAATTTCCATATTTTCCATTCAAGACAGTTTATCTTGATATGTTGGCTTACATCACAGTTGGTTTAGCAAAATGATTTATTAAGTGCCTCTACTTAATAGCTAAACAATTGCTTATGAGAACAAAGTTATCTATATCAGTTTGATATACGTTATATACGAAAGTATATTATTTTCTCCCCTCACAAGTGGTTCAGGGTCAGGAACCAAATAATTCCATCTCATTATTATTGATGTGCGATGTATATTTTGATTAACACCATAACGCACAAAGATGGGTTCTCAAAGTTGAGGAAACAAGTTAGTTTTTCTAACATGAGGGGGAGACAAGATACAACAGTTGAGAAAAAGTTACGTGGAATGAATTATCATTTATACATCTCGATCCTCGAATAAGATAATATGAACTTGAAGTTTATAAAAGGATAATTCATTTGCAATATATTGTAAAGCATGCCAGACGCATTTGTTGACCCAAAGAAAGTAACTATATTCTCATTGCAAATGCTCCTATTAGAATAAGTCCTAGAAGGACAAAGTCTATAGTATGCTTAAAGCATTTAGACAAATCGGTTTCAAATAAACTTCTTGATAAAGAAGATGAGCAAATTATCTAAATGATCATAACAAAAGGAGGCAAGTGATCTAGAAGATCACATGACATAACACTTCATTAAATCTCAAGAGAGATTCAGATACCTGAAAATATGACTGAAGAGATCTCTATGTTATGTCTTTATGAAAAAATACTAAAACTGATATAAAATGTTTGTCGACGACATCTATGATAGCGTTAAATATATATATATATATATATATATATATATATGAGGATCTTAAGTCTGAAGAAACAATTCAAATAGAATTGGTTTCATATGAAAGCCATGTAGTTTTGAACATGTAGTTCAAACACTTGAAAGTATAAGTCAATGGTATGTGCAATCAGTTTGCGATATCTTATATGTCTAGCATGACAAGAAAACTTGATATGCATCTAAAGTCTATTATATGACTTATATAACTTAACAATTCCTAAAGGATTTAAATTGCTTAAAGCATATAGAATTCATGGTCATGAAGTACTACATCCTCAATGCAATTTGTCCACAAATGTATCTTGCTATAACTATATGCATGATAATATGATAGCAAGAGTTTTCACGTCTATGTGAAGATATTGAACTGACTATTCCAACAAGATCATATGAAGACAATACATCTATTAAGAATGATGATTTCAAGGTGAAACAAATTCGTTCACGAAATCTTTTGAAGATGGTGCACAAGATTGGAATGTAAATGCTTAAGGATGTGAATTGAAGCTCTCATCAGGGGGAGTTAATACGCGTTGTACTCTTTTTTCCTTACAAGGTTTTGTCCCACTGGTTTTCCTTGCAAGGTTTTTAACGAGGCAACCAAAAGGCGTATTATTAGATATGTGTACTCTTTTTCCTTCTCTAGAATTTTTTTTCCCACTGGGTTTTATTTTAGTCAAGGTTTTAACGAGGCACATTATCTGTTGAATAGACATTCAAGGGGGAGTGTTATAAATAGAATTCTATTTAAGGTGAATGTCTATATTTAGAGAGATTCTAGGGTTTATTACTTGGTGGCTAAGTCACCCTCTCCCTATAAATAGAGGATTCTATTCCATTGTAATTCATCCCAAATCAATAAGAATTCTCTCCCTCTACTTTTCTCTGCAATAC